TTTGTCCTTGAAAGTGAAATGAGAACAACTTAAGACGTGCTCAGATGAGCCATGGTAAACTTCAGGTCACTTCTGGGACCTTGGACAGGATGAGGACTCTGGGATCAGCCTGAGTAGCTGCCTGGGCCACACCAATCTCCCTGTATCCCTCACACTGATGGACCAGGTACTCTGTTCGCGCTTCTGAGGATCGAGACAGTACAAGGGCTCTACATTAGCCCCTGAATCAGACTGCTGGCTATGAAGGCGACCCCAGGGTCTGCCCCTTCGTGAGGCAAGCTATGCTCACTGCTTCTCCACCAGGAGAGGCGCATCTCCCTCGTCCTGATCGCTGCTGAGTATAAGTCTTGAGTTTTTCCTTACTTTGTGTCACTGTAGGCTCAGGAAATGCAAACCACTCACTACTCATAGCTGACTGAGCAAGATACTGACAACAAAGAAATCTGGATGAGATAGAGGATGAGCTACTCCAACCTGTGACTTTGCTAGCACTTGAGATCTTGAAGAGGCATCCAGCACGGACGACGGCCAGAGAAGACAATCAAACATTTATGGAATTTTCCCATCCAAATGGAATGTCTATATCACCCAGTAATTGCCTCTCCTGGAAACTGAGAGATTATTTGTTTCACTTACACATAGTCCCTAAGAACAGGAAAGATGCTGCATCCAAAAAGCGAACCTGAATCTAGAGGGCGAGCTCATACAGTTACTGTTGACTTCCTGCACCACAAAAGGACACCACAGAGCAGGCCAGCCTCCCCCCGAAGTAACAAGCATCCACATTCCTTTCATAGAGGCTCTGAGGAAGGTCCCCCCAAAAGAAGTCTCAAAGTTGAGTGCCTAGCACAGCATTAAGTAACCTCCTGGGTTTTAGGAGTCCTAAGTCAAATACTAAAGACAAACAAAATCAGTATTTGTAAACCGCTCCTTTGCCGCTAATCCGCAGATGGAAAATGGAGACAGGTGAGGCCAGACCTCTGGTGTGTGTAACTGTTGTTCTTGCGGGGTATCATCTGAAACCTACACCCTGTAATAGCTTCTACCGATTGGAACATACGTCACAATCCTATATTTTCTAGATCTATACACAGGATATTTTTCTATGTTCCTAAACAACAGTTGACTTAAAAACAAAACAAAGCAGGCTGGATGTTCTAGATGAGTATCTGAGGCTTATTAGCTCCTTTTTTACTTTTCTTTACAGTTCACTTCCTGGGGCCAAGTAATTCTTTTCTTAAAGTATTCAGACACACGAGTTGCATGCTGGAATACCAATTCTGAGATGGTCCTCTCTATATGCTCAGTCTCAAAGGCCTAGAGTATGCAAACAAAGATGCTGTGGGCAGAAGGCCAGCTAATAAATCTCATTTCCGACCGGCATCTGCGTAGAACAGAGCTGTAGGGAGTAGCCTCTCCAGGGAGGTCCAGGCCACGACTCATTCGCTCTTTGAATTAAAGATTGTCACCTTGGATGGCCCTCACCACATTTATTTTTTAAGCAGCTCTTAAAATATCTGGATTCCTAACTGTGGTGGGGAGGCGGGGGCTGGAGGCGCTCTGTCGTGCAGTGGGTGTAGAAATGTGTGCGGATGGCTTTACTGGGTCATTTTGATACCTGACTGCTTCTAGTGCAATTTCTAACACAGATGTGATTTTAAAAAGGGGATCCTGCTTTCTAATTAAAGTGCACAGGGCTTTCGATCATGATTTGTTGTTACCTATTGAACTTCAGGCTGTAAAAAACGGACCCTGTTTACATGCATTGATATCTGCCTTATGATGTCTAGACCAGGACCACATCATATTCTTTTTGTGAACAATCTGGTACTTGGCCCCAGGGAACGGCTCACCAGGTAAAGGTGCTAGCTAGCCTCCAAGCCCAGTGGCCTCAGTTTGATCTCCAGAAGTCACATGGTGAAGGAAAGAACACACTCAAGCAAATCTCATCTGTGGTATGTGCACCCACCCACCCTAAATAAATAACAGCAAAAGAAATTAAAAGAAACCAGAGTGACCGCTTGCACATTAGCGGTCCTTGAGAAATGCCATTGTCCTTTCTAGGGGTCCCTGCCTTCTCTTGCCTGCAATGCCGGCAAGGTGAGGCGTACTCCAGTCTACGCTCCCCAAAGTGTTCCTCTTTGGAAACAGAGCACGTTCCCTGTTTACAGACCTGCATGCATGCTCTTAGGCCTTCCATCTCTCTAAGAGTACAATTAAAGGGACTTAAGAGATGGCTCAGAAGTTAAGAGCACTGGCTGTTCTTAGAGAGAACCTGGATTCATTTCTCTGAGCTACATGGTGGCTCATAACTGTCTCTCTCTACCACCAGTTCCAGGAAATACGACACCCTCCTCTGGCCTTGGAGGGCACTGTATGAATGTGGTCCATAGATTTACAGGCAAAACAGACATAAAGTGAAAAAAACAAAAACAAAAACACTAGGACTACATAATCTTCATGGTAAGAAGCCCTGTCAAGAAATAAAGCCCGAGAGAGGGGCTGCTGGAGTGGACCTGGGAATCAGTGACAGCCAGGATCAGAACTGCTTCTGGTGTTGCCAGGGCCCTCAGTACACTCAGGCTCTCTCAGGCACCTCACAGAAAACTTCCAGGCATATCTCACTCACTGTTGAAAGCTACCTCGCCTACAGCCAAGGTCAAACTTCTACTTGGTTAAATCTCTGTTGTGGCTTTCAAATCGCCTTCCAAGTTTCCTCAGCAACCAGATAGCTACATTATTCCGGTCTTAGGATGCCAAAGTAAGGGCGGAATGCTTCCTGGATAGAAAAATGTGTCACATTTTTCCCCTTCTCTTAGGTCTCTCCAAAAACTATGCAGTAGTTAATATTGTATTGCTCATTCACTTTGAAAGAAAGCAGGCCAAGGGAGACACCCAGTGTGTCTGTTTCCAAGGGTGTCCTGTACATCATACAGCACAATGGAGCTATGCCGGCAGCTTTCTTCCCTGAGCCAAAGCATCTCTCACTACATCGCCCAGCAATCGTAGTCTATAAAATATGAACACAGGGTTTCCAGAGAAGTTACCAGTGTAGTCAGATCTTTACCAAAAATTTAGGGTTTTCTTTGTTTTAATTGTATATAATTTAAGGTGATACCATAAAACATCAAAAAGCAAAGCAGAAATCATTTAATAAGTAGAAGGAATAACTTGGATTAAAAACACAAACACAATTTCATCATAAAGCACTATCTTTTTTTTTCCCCACAAGAAGGGCCCATTTGACCTTTTTGGCAAACAGTTTTTCATTACCACTTTGAGTTGGTTCATATGAGTAATAAAACCCAATTAGGCAACTTCCTCTGGCCCACGTGGTAAAATGTGTACTCCATCCTAGGAGCAGCAGCTACTGACATAGCGGGGATTAAGATGCTCAGGAAATAAGGGCTTCAAATTTATTGCCTACAAGAACAGTTCAAATAAGTGAGCTTTCAAAGCAACTTGATTTTGTTTATTTTTAAATTCTCTTTCTAGGTTCACCCAGTGGAGAAAGGTGAAAAAGAGAGGGACCTTCCAACAGTGGGATCCCCAAAAGGCAAGTTCCAGAAGTTGAGGACCAACTGTGGCTTACATTACGAGAGTAACAATCACTTGAAATCCGTGAGGATGCCCTGCCAATTCTAGTCATTGGAACCATAAGATGTGAGACTGGGTGATCTCAGGGGGGCAGTCAAAATTAACTTCAAGTATTTATGTAACTGCCAGAGATGGAATAGAGCAGAGGGTGGCCTTTACCTCCCTCCTTTTGAGACAACAAATGGTATCTCTGCTCAATAAGGAATGAAGTGGGGAGTTTGGGAGTCTCCTTTATGATGTGCACATAGAATCTGAACACAGAATATTCTGCCCATAATATTATTTGAGAATTCAGATGGCAGGCTTACTTTAAAAAGTAGTTATTTCCTGTTGCTCACTGGCTCAGAGGCTGCATCCTGCAGGTATGTGTGCTCCACTTTAAAGCAAAAGCATCGCTGGTGGTTATGAAGGTTACATTTAAAAATAACCACCTCAGTACAAAAGAACTTCAGAGGAAATACAATCTGAGCTATCCGTCTCCCTGTACGTCTGGCCTTGAGCTGCCTAAGATCAAGCTACATTCTGCATCACATTGTTATCCTTATTAAACAATGCAAACAATTTTAATGAGCTTATCTATGGGAACATATTGCCAGATATGTTAATGCAAAAATGATGCCAACGACACAGGCAACTCATTAATCAAAAGGCTCACAATACAATGACCCATAGCATTCCCATCCTCAAATCAGACCTCAGCAAAAATATAAGGAATCACCTTTCTGGTATAAATAAGAAGGAAGGACTCCTCCACCCATGCAGAGGCCATAAAACTCTTCAGAAAATGCATAGCGGCGCTGGGTTTTGGTAGGTTTCCTTTTTGTCGTTGTGGGTTTTTTTGTTTTTGTTTTTTCTTTTTTTTTTTTTTTTAACCCCTAGGTCTGAAACAGTCTAGGCTCTTTCTAATCAGCCTCGGCTTCCATGGAGAGATTTTGGTGAATGTCTGACACTGTGACCTCTGCTGTCAATCCTTGCACCAATCAGCGTGCAGAATTCTTACAAAGCTCCATCAATCTGGCGGTTTAACATCACACACTGCAGCTTCATCTAGAGGATTCCATCTTTTCCTGCATGCTCCCCAGGTTAAGCGCAAGCGCGCTCCTCACCATCCTCCCTTTCTCGCCATTCTCCCGTTTGTTTGCTCCTTTAGTGCCCGCCACCTAATGGTTCCTTTAAATGCTAAAAGGGAAGGAGGAGAGGAAGTGCTGAGCCTGTGTCCCTTCGGGGATGCAGGAAGATGGCATGCAGGGAAGAGATGGAGGGAGACCTCTTGCAGGCAACAAACCTATTCGCCCGCGGAAGCCTCCATGCTCACCCCACCGACACAGGACCCTGCAACCAAGCAATCCCGGCCTCCGCGTTACGTAACGGGACGGACCGTCCGCAGCCACCCGTGCCAGTACCTGTAGGACCGCTCCCCGCGCACTGTGTGCTTCCGGAAAGGAATGATGGTCCCGTTATCCTGGATGATGTCGTTGTTGTTCTCTCCATTTGGGGACAAGGTTTGGGTCGGCCCAGGCATTGGCGCTCTCCCGACAGAGGGAACACACGCGGAGGCTGGCTGTGGCGAAGGGCTGTGTCTCCCCGCTGCTTACTGCTCACTCTGCAGCCGCGCTCTGCTCCTGCTCCGCGCCCGGCCCCGCCCTCCCAAAGCCACGCCCTCGAAGGCCACTCCCTCTCACGTCAGGGCGCCTGCAGCAGCGGCAGCGACTGGTCACGTGCCCAGTGTCGCCATAGCAACCCGCTAACTCGTAGACTTGCCGAGGTTCACGCAGAGCGGCTCAGCGTGAGCGCCCGGGGCTGCAGGCTACAGAGCGAGGGGCTGGCCGGCATCTGGCGTGGACCCGCCCTGAGCCGGAGTGAGAACCGGCTCTTCCTTTAGCTGCTTCCTCTCAGACCAAGCTGCCCCTGCAGCTGGACACACAAAAGGATTCATGCCCAGGCCTGGGGTAGCTCCAAGGCCCAGGACAGGAAACGTGGTCAGGTTGCAGGACAAACCCACAAAGACCTGGAGGCTAGCTTCTAGGGAAGGTGGGGGACTAAAAGGGTTAAGCTTTCCCTTGTCCTCTGTTCTCCACAGCAGCCACCTCCTGCTTAAAAGAAGCAGAAAAATAAAACCTGTATGGAAACTACATCTTCTGAGACCATACCGTGAGGACGACCGTTACAAATTAAATGACTCTGTACAAAATAATTTACCAATTGTGATATTTTTTAAAAAAATTATTTATGTAATCACCAGTTTATAATATCACCGTTAGAGAAACCTTTTTTTTTCCTTTATAAAAGCAGGCTTGTGTTAGGACTAGGCTAATCTTGAACTTATGATCACCTTGTTCAAATTACCAAATTCTAGGATTATCTATGCCCCAAGTCTCAGCTGTCCTCTATTTCTTTTCCCTGCCCTTTGATTCCTATCATCAATTCTCTGTCCTTTATTGATATGTGGATTAGACAAGTGACCACCTCATTTAACATTTGGAAGCTCAACGCTCAGGCTGTTTCAGCAGTGCAAATGGTATTTGCAAATAATTTGCTGTAAGTCAGGAACCATTATCCCCAATTTAAAAACGGACATGCTAGAAAAAGACCACACCGGAAGTGATGAAGCAAGGCTAGTAAATGACACATTTTTTTTTAACAGTGTGACCACCCACTAGTGACCTGTGATGTTATAAACCTAGGTATGAAGTATTTCAGTACGTGTCCAAAATATTATGAAAAGATGAATGCGTACAGAATTGCAAGTACCATGCAAAGCCTGGGGTTTCGATAATAAACAGCCCCCACCGAGGACCAGCGCTGTCGCTTCCTGAGTGAAGAGGGTCTGGATTCTCTACTCGTTAGAAGCTCTCTCTGGATATCCATAAAGTGGATAAAGAAGAAAATTTGGGGGTGTAAAAAGCCCCACATGAGTGAGGATAAAGGGCAAAGTTCCCAGTTACGGCTTCCTCCACCATTGGCCACTATGTGGCCTATCATGGTCCCCATAGTGTGATACAGATATTAATAACAAAAATTCTGTCATTCCTGAAAATTCAACAGCATGTGTCCCCAGTTATAAGTTATTTCTGTGTCAACCTTCTGGGATTGGAATCAAATGTTCCACAGCACAGATGGTAATGATAATCTCGAGCAAGCCCCTCCCCATTTCCTTTCTATTTTATACTCGACTTTTGGCCAGTGATTTTAATAATTTTATTTTTTCTGCTTTTTCAGTTAGTTCCACAGGACAAAAACTAGTTCCTTCCTCTGAATCCATCTCATGATAGTTGTTTTTCTCATCCAATCAGGATCCAGTTCTGACAGAAGACTTCCTAAGGAGCACGGAGAGCTGTTCAAGAGGCACACCGGGTGTCATTCCCATCCAACAGCCAGCTAAAAGGAGCTGGGACTGTGGCCGTTAGGAGGCAACTCGACACACACTTCCTCTTGCTGTTTCTGTTACTTGACCCACTTGCTAATTTCTCCACTGACTTCTTTCCTCTCGCAGAAGCTTTCCCTTTCCGGTAGTCGGTCTGAAATACCGCCCGCGGATCAAATGCACTGTTTTCCCACTGTGCCCTCTCAATGGGGGTTCTTTCATGGAGCTCACTTTGGCATGATGGTGAGGACTAATTTGGTCAAAATTTGAATGTCCAGTCCATCGCTTTAAACTCATTTCTACCAGTCTGCAGAGTAAACATCCCTGCCTATCCACCCTTGTCCGGTTGTTCAAGAAGGAGGGAGTGATGACCAAAAATGTAGTCAGTAGGCTGAAAAGGGAGGGATAGTGGACTCTCAAGCTCTTGTAAATCTTCCTCTATGACCGCTCAGAGCCTTGCTACTATAAAGGGACCGGAGAGTTCCCGAGAGCGGCCATTACCCTCTAAGATGCGGGGGTAACAGGGGTAATAATCTAAAAACATTAAACAGATGCCTTTCGTTCCTCTCACATAAATCAGGTTACCTGGCAGCTAGTCTCCAATTTAGCCTTGGGGAAAAGAGGAAGGCAAATCCCACTTTGGGGAGAGTATGATTCAATATGGGAAAATACAGAAAAGATGAAATGAGGCAAAGAAAAACCCATCCTTTCAAGGCCCAACCAAATGAATGTAGGAATAAAGGTTAAAACAATCAATCAATCAATCAATCAATCAATCAAAAGGCAACTAGTTTCCCAGTCTGTCTCCTAGAAGAGACATCAAATAGGCTGAAGGTCCTGCCAAAATCTAGGGGACGTCCTTTGGTCTCATTTCACACTGAGAAGTCTAGGGAATGGCTATAGTTGAAGGAACGTCTCATTAATCCTATTCATTCCCAAGAGAGGTGCAGCCTGTCCCAGTGAAGACCTCCTTGCTTGATAAGGTCCAGCCCTGCTCCCCAGTGAAGAATGCTTACAAGCTATGGCTCCATCACAGTGCAGACCCCTTTCCTAACAAGGTGTGGCCTGTCACAGTGTCACCACACTTCAGGAAGCTCAGGTAATGATAGTAGTGATGGCAAGGGTGTTATCACAGCAGATGCCGAGGGACACGAAAAGTTCACAGGAACTCAAATAGGAGAGATAGCTAGCTGTGAGAAAAGGGACACAGTGTCAGAGCCAAGTGTGTAGGTGCTGCTGAAGAGTTCACCACAGGGACTGGAGAGACGGCTCAGCAGTCAAGAGCACTGACTATTCTTCCAGAGGACCCGAGTTCAATCATTCCCAGCACCCACAAGGCAGCTTACAACTGTCTGTAACTCCAGTTCCAGGGAATATGACACCTTCACAACAATGTACATAAAATAAAGTTGAGAGAGAGAGAGAGAGAGAGAGAGAGAGAGTGAGAGAGAGAGAGAGAAGCATGGGACCAACAGTCCCACCCCACCCACCTTCTGGCTTTCTATAAGACCTTCACATCCATTCAGTCCCCAGACCTCGGGGAAAGGGGGTAGGCACTTAGAAATCGGCTATTTACCTAAGAGATGGAGCTCAAAGGTCTCTAATCTGAAAGATGCTGTAATACAGGGAGCTGGCAAGCTTCAAACTTTCTGGTTCCCTAGTCCCCAATAGGTTAAGGGAGGTCACAAGGATGAAAGGCGGTGTCTATGTATACCTAACCGTGGATTACAGTTTTGTTGTGTACCCAGAGGGTTACCAAAAACTGTGTGCAGACTACAGTCCTATGGCTCCAGGTGCCCAGGGTGGGGGGGGGGGCGCACTCCTCTCACCAAGCAGCTATTAAAGTTGGGGCTCTGGCTCAGGCAGCTGTGGGGGCTGGGCTTGGTTTACATACATACACTGCTATGTAATTTTGACAACTTGTTTCATATCTTTACGATCTTGTTCCCTGATCTATAAAGCCGTGTAGTGATACTGGCTTCACTGTGTCGCTGTGGGGTTAGATTACGGACTGCACTGAAAGCCCCTGACCTTGAAACTGGCAAAATACTCAGGCTCTGACCTCAGGACACTTCCAGGGCTGAGGGTGATGAGAGAGTACAACACAGTTACAGTACAAGGGCTAAGATCAGCACCAAACTCACAGTGGGTCTGTGTTCTCTGGACGGCTGTCCATCACCAGCAGTAACAACAGAAATCTTTTCTGATCACTTCCCAGGCAACACTTCCAGTGCTGCTGTCACGGAGCAGAGCCTGGCAGGCGGGAGGCACTAGAGGAATGCAATCATTCATTTGTTCAGTGAGTGTTTCAGGGGAAGAACAGGTTGTTAGCTATTGGATGGATACCACCCTTCTTGCCCATCAGCCTAGGTGCTTATCCTGGAGGCAGGGTTGTCTTTAGAATGACGAATGGAATGGGGAGGAAGGATGGAGGCGAAAGGCTTTTGACAGAGGCAGGAAAGGGTGTGCTCCCTGCAGGACACTGCAGGCTGCTCTGTGCAAAGGGAAAGCAGAGTGCACAGTGGCAGAGGCCAGCAGGAAGAGGCTCTAAAGGCTGGCTGTGCTGAAGAGCTTGGCTGAAATCTGAAGTGATCTGCAAGCAGGAAGTACAGAGAGGGCAACTGACGATGACATTTGCATACTGAATGATGATGATGGTATGGAAGAAGAGTAAACCCAGCTCCCAAATCTATAACAAACAAAACCAAAACAGTGAAGATTTAAACCAACAGATCAAAGGACTTTAGAAGCAAGCACACATTTGAAAATTCAAATACATGTTAGGGTTTGGTAGATAACAGGCCAGGTGATGGGAATGGATTGAGGGTAGGTAGGAGGTAGTGAAGGAAAGAGAAACATCTCAGAGGTCCCAAGCATCAATTAGCAAGTTTAGGAATACAGATTAAATTGTTGCTTTGGAAGAAAGTTTCTCAAAGTGCATTTCAGTCACAGAGAAAAACCCACAGGATGTGCTATTAGCTGTCAGACCATGGGTGAGTCCTTCAGCATTTGTTGAATGCGCGTGTGTGTCTCAATCTTATCTGTGTTTGATGTGGATACGCACTAATTTGCAGATAATTGTCTCCAAAGTGCTGCAGCAGCCGCTCTCACTCACGCAGCAAGATAAGACCCTTTGGAATTTTTTAAAAGCTGAGCGATAAAGAGAGAAAAGTAGGAAAGGAGGGAGTCTGCCTATGGCTACATATCCTAGGAAAGGAGAGGTCTCTAGGGCCAGGTGGCACAGAAAGTT